TTGAAATGCATAAGCAGGGATAGTTCAAAGAGAACCAACTGCGATAACTGTAAATGAACACTCAAAAATAGTTCCCCATGAACACCCTTTGTTGGATGTGAACTTATTGAGGTTTATATGGAACTGAAAAGAGATTATTGAAAATAGACCAAAGCAGCTAAATACAAACAGAGACAAGGCCAGATAAGAACTGAATGAAATTGTTTGGTTATTAGCAGGCAGGGGAGTCAGTACAAAGAAACTAAGACAGATTTAAACAAACATGGAAAAAAGACAAGTGAAAAATAAAGTGAGAAAATAGCTAGAAATGGGAAGATAAGAACAGGAAATTTATCAGCATTCAGGAAGATTTATGGTCAAGATGTTAAACTGCCCTGTTCAAAAATATATCAACCTTGACTTCATCATCCACACAGTTCAAACTGATTGGGAGAGGAGAAAAAGAAATTGTAAAACATTAAAAAATACTATAAACCAAAGATTGCGAATGGATTCTTTAAATTTTGAATAGTACTAAACTAGTTACAGCCACAGAGACGCAATGTCTAAGGTTTGAATTTTTTAAAATGAAAAATCTTTCTAGAAGCTTTTATTTTAGTTTTAATTTCAAGCTGATAGATTAAGTTTAATATTTCCAATAAGTAAAATACTTTTTATGTATTTCAAAACTAATTTAAATTGACCAGAGCATGTTTTTGATTTGAAATCACTAAAATTAGCAATTTTATCACTATTTTTAGCCATTAGAAGTCACAATGTAATTCTCTTTAAATCTTTCAAAAATAAAATATACTTGGTGAAACTTTATTTGAGGAATATTAGCTGATTTAAAGTTTAACTAATCTGATTTGAAACAAATATTACTTACTTTAAGTTTAAACTATTGCAGAAATTCATTTTTTAACACAGTGGTAGGTGTTTATTTAAGGTGTTGACAGCTTCACTAACAGACAGAAATTTATCTAATTTTTTCTATGGTGGACATATCTGTAAAAATTACATGGGACAGATAATGTGAGTGTCTTTTTTATATAATTACCCAGCAATCTTAAAACTTTAGGAAAATATTCTCCATAATCTAATGTTTTATTGAATTTTAAGTACTTTGGCTTTAAATTTATTATAGTTATCATTCTTATTTTCTGATAATGTTGTATATGGACACTGAAATTTCCTATACAAAAACAAGACTTAACCAAAATTTTGAACATTCTTAAAAGGATAAAAAAATATGAGTTAATCAAAAATCCTTTGGTTTTTCCTCTTAATAATAACATAAAGATTTTGATGATAAAACTGTTTTTATTAAGTTTGAGGTATTTTTCATCATGGTATACTCATGTTTTTAGTGAATCTATGGAGGTAGCTATACTAAACTTTTTATATACTATGTTTGTTTTTATTTTTTCTTATACATACATACATATGATACATTTTAATTTATAAATTAGTCACATTAAAAGATTAACACTAAAAATAATAAAATAGAACAATTATAACAATATTATGTAATAAAAGTTATATGTTGGAAGGAAAAAGACTTTTTTGATGTAGATGTTATTAGGCACAATAAGATATTAACAAAAAGAACTAATAATAAATTCGAACAAATATTCGCAACAATATACTTAAATAAAAGTTATGGGATGGATGAAAAATTCACTCTTACCTTAGATATTATTCACAACAATAAGAGATTTACAAAAAATAACTAATAATAAAATAGATCAATTATAACAATATACTTGAATAATAAAATTTATCTATGATGGAAATTTTTTTTCTGCAGATTTTAGCAACCGCAGCCTATGATTTAGTTATTTCCTTATTGTCATGAACTTTGACCTTGTCATTTAAAGAAAGAATTTTATTTTCTCTCTAGCATATCTGAATAGCAAACATCACTTCTCTTGTATTTGGGGTCATTATTAAGTCTTCCTCTTCTTGAAGTCAAACTTGACATGGTCAGCTTAATACACAAACATCCCACACATTTTTTATTGTAGAGGCAAGCACAACTAGGTGGCACCCAGTAAGAATCAAACTCACTATAAATGTTCTGCGAGAACAGTTTGATAACCATTATACAGCAACGAGGTATACATTCAGACTAATGTCCACATTTTTGCTGTTATTATCAAAATGTTTATACCATTAACCCTTACAGAGCAATGAGATACACACTTATTAGTATTATCAAAATGTTTATACCACTAACCCTTACAGAGCAATGAGATACACAATTAATGTTATTATCAAAATGTTTATACCACTAACCCTTACAGAGCAATGAGATACACAATTATTTTTATTATCAAAATGTTTATACCACTAACCCTTACAGAGCAATGAGATACACAATTATTTTTATTATCAAAATGTTTATACCACTAACCCTTACAGAGCAATGAGATACATAATTATTGTTATTATGTTATTATCAAAATGTTTCCATTGTTGTGATAATAAAAGTAAAGATGAGGATATTAGTCCAAATGAGAATAATTTAAATAGTGATAACTCTTCATTCCAAAAATTCAGATTGAAGTGATCCTTACTTACTAAGCTTAGTTTGGCACAAGACCACAAAAAAAGAGCATCAAGTGGAGACTGAACTTTCTATTCAGTATAAATGGACAGGCAGACTGTTTATCACACATTCTTTAAAAACTTAAATTTTGGCACAGTAAAAATCAAGTTAACTACCCAGTAATAATGGTTGCAAAGGCTAGTTTGTTAAACAATACCTTACACCAGTGGTTCCCAAATGGCGTGGCGCACCTCATATGTGCGTCAGAAGAGGACAGCAAGTGAAACGAAATGATTGAAATACAATCAAAGATTTAGAAACAGTTTTAAAAAATTCAGATGTCAAAAATAAATATGATTTCAAAATTTAAAATATTATAAATTACTTGTAATTGCATGCACGAGTCCCAGTATAAATAGTTGTAAATAATTATTGACCGATTTTATCATTGTGATATTTTTGCATTGTATCAAGTATTAAGAATATAGTAATTGGGCTCTGCAAATTGGAGGAGAAAGTTATCAATGATAATGTTTCTGACTTTGAATCTGCATTTATCTCCCTTTAACTGGACCTTCTTTGCCATAGGGCTGCTTGTACTTTTTCACCAGGACTTCCCTTCCCCTGAGCTGGTGTCTTCGTACATGTCATTTTTATTATATAAAATTTGGTGAGCAAATTTTAATTCTGAAAATGTGACCAAGAGAAAAAAATTTGGAACCACTGTCTTACACCAAGGTGCCTTAAAATACTAAGCTTAGCTTAGTTTTGTCACAAAGTCACAAGTATGGGTACCTACCTAAGCTCAATGAGAAAAATAGCTTGTATGTTTCAGTACTGCAAAAACCAAGTTCATATCATTTCATCATCACTGAGCAGACCCCAAGTTTTTTGTAGACACAGTAAAGTGGAACTCATATATGAAAACGAAGGCTGAAAAAATGGTCAGCTCATTCTATCATTCCAGGAAGTACCTGACTCCTTCTGCTATGATTTATTTTTACAAGAATCAGATTAATTATTTTCCACCTTACAACCTCTTTCGCACAGACAAAATGGTGCCAGTTTCTTGCTGTTCTATGCTCTATCACTATTTCCATAGAAAGTGTTCAGACGAACTACATTCCTTGGTTCCAAGAGTTCTAATCTTCATGGTTAAGGCCTGCCATGCCATGTACATTGTAGAAACCACCCTCATTTCCTTCGTATTCAATTAGTGAGAAGTAAGTTCCAATTGAGTAGCTTCTTCCCATGAACTGCTGCTCTGTTGAAGTGACTCCCAAGAGGATGCTTCCCAAATCACTACAATCTTAACCTGTTCAAGTCTAGAGTTAACTGTTATCTTCCCTGCATATTCTCATAAACTGTGCTTCTTACCTCTTACTTTGTGGAACCAACTCCCAGGAGGATGCTTCCCCGATCACTACAATCTTAACCTGTTCAGGTCTAGGGTTAATCGTTATCTTCTCCACATATCCTCATAAACTGTGCTTCTTACCTCTTACTTTGTGAAACTAACTCCCTAGAGGATGCTTCCCCAATCACTACAATCTTAACCTGTTCAAATCTAGCGCTAACCATTATCTTTCCGACATATCCCAATAAATTAAGCCTCTGTAACCCTCTACCTCGTGTGGCTGTTGGGCCTTGTACAGGATGAACATCATTGTAAAAAAAAAAAGTTAAAAATGGTATATTGTTGCTATATCTGGGATGTAGCTTCCCAATCTTCACTTTTCAGCCTTGATAGAGTTCAAAATCCTTTACATGGTCTTGTGAGGTAAGACTTATCCTCCACTCTGCAGTCTCTTTCCCACAGGCGCAACCTTGCAATAGTGACAGAGTAGTCATTATCGATCCTCCTTATCCTCCTAATCTTTGCTTCCTATCACCTGCTCTTTCATTCATTTCATACACTTCATTCATAATTACGATTTTCACAGTAATCCTCTAACTTGAGTGGTCATTGAGCCTTGTAATAGGTGAGGTTTAGTTTTTAAAAAGTAAGCTCTCTTAGGGTGCACCAAACTTGCCTTGTAACAGAGGAAGGTAAGCTAGAGATAGGTAGATAGATAGATATGAATAGACTGAGATAGATAGATAGATAGATAGATAGATAGATAGATAGAAAGAAAGAAAGAAAGAAAGAAAGAAAGAAGTGCCTTGTTATAGACTTGAAGATAGCAATCTTGTCATTGTCAGAATGTTTGATCGATTTATTTTTTCTATGGCTTATCAACATTTGCAGATTATTTAAATTGTTAGAATTTGGGGGGGAGATAATAATGATTGACTGATATGAGTCCAACTAATTAACCCATAGCTGGGAGGGGAGAAAAGAGGTGCATTCATACCTTTCCCAAGGATATTAGTGCGTAAGCGATTAAAATGAAACTGACTGGAATTGGAACTCAGCTCTCCGATTAACAATTCCAAGCCATTATACATTATATCACCCACACAGCCAAGCTAACAGCACATGGTATTTCCAAGTGGTCACCCATCTAGGTACTGACCACGATTGACATTGCTTAACTTTGATGATCATATGAAAACCGGTGTTTTAATGTGATATTGTCGTAAGGCATTTCAGAAGTGGCTTTTGTATGTAAATGGCGTATCTTGCATATAAGATGTTATAATAAGCAAAAAATGTTACATAATTTTTTCCTTGTTTGTCTTAAAACAAGGAAGAGAAAAACACAGTTTTCTCAGAAAATGAATTTAGAGCACAACCAAATTTAAACAGAAATATTCAGCATTAATCTAAGGATTTAGTTTCAAGTCAATAGTCATTTTCATTAACACCTATCTTGCCTTGATTACCAATTTGTTTTTTAGATTTATATGTATGTGTATATGTGCGTGCGTGCGTGTGTGTGTGTGTGTGTGTGTCTAGGGATGGGGGGATAATCAATCTGTCTGTGAGTGTCAGCAGAGTAGTGTCTCGCAAGAGGATGGCATGAGCATGCTAGGTAAAAAGAGATGTAAATGACGTCAGAGTTACCAGCTGCCGCCGCCATTACTACTACTACTACTACTTCGTATGAAAAGTCTTACTCCCACCGCAGCCAAATATGCAAATGATTCGGAAAGGCGAGCCAGCCAATCAGTGTCGTTCTAAGGTGTGTCACGTGTACCCGGTGAGTCGCTTTCGTTGGGGAAAAGGCTCTCTAATGTCTGTGTGACAAAGTTACGGTGAAAGGTAAATGTCTTGATTTTATTTACTGAAAACAACAAGCAATAACAATAATAACAACCACTACCACCTTAAAAAGATATATATGAAAGTGTAAACAGTGTGAAGAAGTATGATTTTGGGGATTTCTTATGTTTTGTTTAAGAAGAAATAATTTTGAGAAGGCGGGGTAAGAAAGAAAAAAAATATCATAACAATAATATAGCGAAATGTTTTTTTTTTTTTTTTTTAATTTGCTTTATTTTAAAAAGGATTAACGCATTTTTAAAATCCGCTATTGTTGTTAATTTTGTTATTTTAATATGTAGAACTCTTATTGTATATATACATTTTTATAGGCTTAAACCGAAACGTTACATGTTCTCCTGTGCACACGGAAATATTTTTTTGTATATGAGTTGCGTAAAAAAAAATCGGAAAGAGAATTATTTTTTTTTTTTTCTAAAAGAAAAGAAAAAAACAAAAAAAAACAGCAGCAGTCATTCTAACTCCAGTATTTACTCTTTATTGTTTTTTATTTGCAATGTTGGCTTTATCTGGAATTAATTCTATTTTATTATCTTATGAATGAATTCATTTAGTTTTCAATTTTTTAATAACTACCTACGTTTTATACGTGATTTTTTTTTTTTTTTTTAATATTTCAAATAAGTACACACCTGCGCGAATTCCAATCATACACATTATCTCCACGCCTGCACCCCCCCCACACATGTCTATATATATCTATCTATATGTCATATAATTATATATATATATATATATATATATATATATATATATATATATATATATAAGAATGAAAGAGGAAAGAAGATATTCTCATGGGTGAGTAAATGGAGGAAACCGACACTAGAAATATGGCTGCCAAAATGTTTTTAGTGATGTGTTTGTTATAAAAAAAATATTATCAGGTCGGAAGACAATGAACAAATATTACTTACTACCTTTTTTTATTTTTATTTTTTTACTCTTTTACTTTATAATTACCTATATTGTGTTAATTTTATTCTTTTTCTATTTTATTTATATTATTCTGCTTACCGATAGGATGGATGTATCTTTCCTCTTCATCACTGATGTTTACACACACACAGAAATAATCTAATATATATATTCTAAAATACCGCCAAATAAGGATCGCTTTATTTTAAAGTTTTTGTTTAACCTTTGACTACAATTAGATTCTTATTTTTTTTTAAAATGTGATTTCTTGATAATTAATTCTTACATTTCATTTATATATATATATTTTTTTTTTATTTGTACGCAAATCAATTGCATTCACTATTTTCAAAGTAATGGGGAGAAAAAAGTCTTCTTACGCTTCTTGTATGCTCGAAATTAAAAAGCATGATTTTTCCCATTTTGATTAGCCAGAAACAAAAAGAAGCACTTACTCGTACTATTTTTTTAGAGTTTTGAATAAATTTAAGTTTATATAAATTAAAAAGCTTGTATTGTCTACCGGTTTCTGTTTTAATTTAATTTTATTTATTTTTGGCAATAGATCAAAATTCAAAACTTCTTTTAGTGTTTTTTTTTTATTTTTTTAAGCGTTTTTTTTTTTTTTTTTTTTTGTTCGTAACAGACTATTTTTTTTATTCATTTATAAAAAACAAACTTTTTTAATTTTGGCATATTATTAATTTTAATTTAAAATTTTTTTTTATTTATTTTAGTTCCTCTTGTCTTCTGTCTTCTTTTTGCAAGATGTATTTTTAACTTGTTGACAGACTTTATCGCATGTGATCTAGAATTGGGGTATTGAAATTGATTGTCTTTTTACTTTTTATAAAATAAAATTAAAAAAAAAAACAATGTTATAAAAGAAAATATAAAGGAAAATTAAATGTTTTAAAAGAAAAAAATAAAGCTATGCATTTAAGGTTTGCTTTGGCTAGTTTTGTGTGTAGGCGGAATAATGGTGAATTTTCTTTATTAAACTATCTTCTTGACCTTTTTTTTTTTTTCCATTAAAATCTCTTCTATACCTAATTAGAGATTGATAATAATAACATCCATAAATTCAAATATGAATTATCATCACTATTTTTTTCTAGGTCACTTATAAAAAATTATCTCGTAAAAATTGGTTTCTCCTCATCATAGAATTTTTTTTCAGTTCCTCATTATTAGTCATTTTTCCAAATCATTGACCCTAATGAAGAATTATTTTATACTTTTTTTTTTTTTTTTTTACTCGTGGTGATTCTTTCAGATTTAGACTTAAAAAATGTTACACCTGGATCAATAACCGATGTGTTAATCAGCTGACGATTGTGAATCATTTTTGTTTTAACAACCTTTCTTTTCTAGAGTAAAAAATTTTCTTTCTCAGTTGTTAACTAACAACAACATCCAATTCCAGTACAGTTTTTAGAGTAATTCTTGCTTTATTCTCCATTCTTCTTGTTGATCTTCGTTCTCGACGCAAAAAATGATAATTACCTTAACAATTTCTTGATTCTTCGCCCCCACCACCACCACTTTTTCTTTCTTAAACAGCTACTTTCTTTCTCTGTTTATTCTGGCACAAGGTCACACATGTGGAGTACTAGGTGAGAATCGAACTCTCATCTGCTAGGCAACAGAAATTAAATTTCTTTTTGTTTCCTCTTCACTTCGGCATTTTATTTAATTCCCCCAATTGATTTATTTTTAAGACTTTTGCTTTTTGATATATATTTGTAAGTAAATGAGGCATTTTTTTTTTCTATTTCTTCATGTCGTCTTTGATCTTTTTTTTGTTGTTGTTGTTTGGTTTGTAAAAGTAAAAACTATCGAGTGAGGTTTTTTTTTTTTTTACATCCTTACCTTAAGTTTTAATTCAAATTTCAAAAAAATAATCTCTTTGCTGTCCACGTTTATTAAAGGAGGAGCATAATTATTCAATTAAACTTTTAATTTAAATATTAATTAATAATTACTTGTTAAATTACTTATTAAAAATAATTTGTTTTTAAACACCAAACAATTCTCTTCTCTTGCTTGATATACCGTATTTCTGAAACTGTTTATATATGCGAAAAATGTGGTGCCAGACTCTTATAATTTCTGTTGGCGCTGCATACATGCAAAATGATGTAATTCTTGATGCTTGTGCGGAGGAGGAGAAAATAGTAGTAGTAATAGATGGGCTATTAAATAGTCAAATAATTAGTATTATTAGTAATAATAATCATGGTCATTGTAATGGTGTGCTTTCACATGTATATAGCATACTAATTAACCTGTTCGCAGAAGTCGTTTTTTTAGTGTGTCTTGCAGCAACAATCTTTTACTTTTCCACTAAGAATACTTTTTTTTTTTTTTGTTTTACTTTAACTTTATAAATGTGAATTTCGTTTTTGTTTTTTTTATACCTTATTGTGTAATACAGTTGCTTTTTGAGTTTTTTTTTTAAATATATATTAAAATAAGCACTTACAGACACACATACATATGTGTCCCTGCAAGTCTTTGACTGCCACAGATAAAGAAACTATTATGGATTTCGTGTTCATTTTAAATTCGTTTTCTGCTTTTTAGTCTTTTCTTTTATTGTGATCAAATCTCTCCACCTTCCTCTCGCCATCACAAAAAAGGCGAGACATGTTTTATTTATTGGCCTTTTCTTACATTTAAATTAACCCACGTTTATGATTATTATTTAGTCTTTTGTTTGTCTGTCTGGGATGTTATTTTTCTAAAATATTTATTTTCTACTTTGTTTTCTCCTCCTTCCGCCTCATAAGTTTCTCTTTCCATTGTAGGATTTCAACGCCTACTTCGTGGATTTATAATAATAATAATCATTATTACTTGAAAATTAACTACTCGAAATATTTTCTTTTGTCTGGCGGAGACAATCTTTCGAGTAATATGAAATCTAAGTTGTGTATCTTTTATTTATTCACCAATTATTTATACTACTGGTCTTTTTGTCATAAAGAGGGAAAAAATCATTATGGCTTCGGTTCAATGTCCTTCTGTTGTCCATTTTTAATTTGATATATATTTTAACCATTGCATGTGTTCTTTCGTTTATTTCAATGGATGACGAATAATCGCAGTATTGAATTTTAATGTTTGAGTTGACGTTGTCTTGGGTGTTGAAGATCTTTTACGTCAATGGATGATGATGCATCTGCTAGTCGAAGAAGCATTTTAGAGCCATTTTTCATTGATCTCCACCAAATCGATTTTATTTTTTACATCTCAGTCGCAATAATCACTAAATTCTTACTTTCGTCATTTTATTGACAATTTAAATGCTCGAGAATTTTTTTTTTTTGATAGGGTAATGTTGATTTTCTATCTAGAAATTAATTTTGATACATATTTTTAGTAGACATTTCATTTTTAAGATCAGACAAGCAAGTGACTCGATGGTAATTCTG